TAAAAAAAAAAAAAAAAAAAAAAAACTCATTTCAATTCAATATATACAGCTTACAAGGTGGATTATAAACTAATTTAAGTTGTTTACCAAACACAACTTTAATTATATGTTAACTAAGGTGAAAAAAAAATAAAACATATGGGACAATTATACCATGGCAATGAAAAAAACCCAAAACTGTCTAATAATTTATTGAATACTTGAGATTGCTTCATTGGCAATCTCAAATTACAATGGATAGAGATCTAATCTTGTCAAGGAATTCAAATGAAACTTTTATTATTTAACCAGCTGAACTTGTAATGGATAAATTATGTGACGTGTGCACATTTATAATGGATGAATGTATGTTGTTGATCCAAAAAGTTTAATGCAGATTGGAATAAGGGAGTAAAGCTAAAAGTTCCTATATTATTTGAATGTATCCTTTTACTTTTTTAAAATTGCACCAGTAAATCATAGCCATCATTCACAGAATCACAACATATATTATAATTTAATACTTATATTAATAAGGTATTAAACAGTAAACTGTAAAGACGGGGAAAATCAAGCCACAATTTTCAAAAAGAAACAAAAAGAGAAAAAATGGGAAAATGTGAAGGCCCTTTAACGGATTCAATAAGAAAAAGAATACAAAGCCACCCAAAGAAGAACACTGTAAAAGATATTAGCTGAATAACTTGAAAAGTATCCAATATAAATAATAGGAACTAATTTTGAAACTCATATATATTCCCTATTTTATTTTAAATCTGGTTTAGGTTAGAATTTTCGTTCCAATTATTTATGGTTTTAGACTATTATTCCAGTTATATGTGTGTACAAAATCTTAAAAGAATCTCACAAATTTAATTTATCATAAAATCTTAATTCTCTAAGCATAGGAAAGAGATACGTGTATAAAAACACACACACCTATATATATATATATATATATATATATATAGGGTCATGCTCCAGTGAGAATGGTGCTTAATGAAAGAAATAAGAATACATCGTAGTCATTAGATCGCATGATCTAATGGCTTATAAAAAAACAAAAAATATACCTTCATTAAGAGTATCACAGTAATTTCCTACACTACAATCAAACAAGTGGGTCCTACTCCACATTAATATAATGTTACCTAAGAGCATCCACAATACTTTGGGTCTCTTTTTGCATATGTGGCAAATAAATAAACTTAAGTCTATAATGACATGGACAAATCCTAGTTAAAAAAACCAAAATCTATCCAATGCAAAAAAAAAGTACTAGGTCTATAATACCTAACAATCAATAAAAATATAATAATAGTAAATAATTGTTATTGTCACCTAAGAGTAGACTTGGTCTCTTTTTTTATTGTCACCTAAGCTAGACTAGGTCTACTTTTAATTGCATTGCGAAACACTTTTTTATAGACTAAGTTTATTTCCTACATGGTATGTAATTTTTTTTAAAGAGACCCAAAGCATTGTGGTGCTCTAATGCTAACGGCCAATCAACACACACCCACCGGACCTACCCACTCCACACTCTCTTACTCTCTCTTACTTCACACGCATAACACACACTCAACACACACATCACACACACAACACGCCGATAGCCACCACCTCCAGTAACCCAATCCGCCTCCGACACTGTGCTTCTGCACGCCTCACGCCGTCTGCCGACAGCCGTCAATTACCAGCATCACTCGCCTCAGCCGACGCCGCCTCCTCCGCCGCCGAGCTCGAGGACTGCTTCCTCCGGACGAGATCTGAAACCAAGCTCGACAACCTCTACGGTCCGCCATTTGCCGCCGTCCCGTCAATGTAAGTTCGACGTGAATTCGGCCGTGAAGTACCTCGTCGGCCCTTCTCCGACTACCACGCGCCGCCCGACCTCGCCAATGTAGGAGCAGATGGGCTCGGTTTTGTCTTCCCAGAGAGCTCGCAGACCTACACTTATCGTCGCCGTCTCGTCCGCGACATCCGTCCGCCCCGCCGTCACCGTCGCGGCCCCGTTCCGCCATCCGACCACCGCAGTTGTCTTGGTCCGCCGTCCGCCGCCGTCTCGTTCCCGACGTCCGCCGCTGCCGCCGCCATCCTCAGAGAATTGCTCCATCAACTTCAAGTTTGTGGGCATGATTTTGAGAATTAGATAGGGTTGAAGGACTTAGTTGTAATTTATAAATTTTTTGTTATATTTCAATTGACCACATTGGGCCAAATGTATAATTTTCAAAAAATATTTAAAAAATATTATTTTTATATCTGATTTTTATACATATACATAATATGGTTTTAAAAAAATTATAGAAATATTAAATAAAAAATTGAAATGTTGATTAAAATATTAAACATTATTGTGCAATATAATATTAAATAAAATATTAAACATTGTGGTGCAATATAATATGGTTTGATAAATGCATGGTAATGTTAATTAAAATACACATGATTTAATTTTTTCCAAAATTGAAATGCACATAAAAAAAGTACACGCTAGATATATTGCACAATAATGTTATACTAGATGCACGTCTATGTATGTGTGCTTGCACTTTATTGAGTTTGGTTCTTGTACTTTATCGAGATCAATATTTCGTAATTTTTATTATATAAATATTTGATAAATGCATAGTAATGTTAATTAAAATACACATCATTTAAATTTTTTTCAAAATTGAAATGCACATAAAAAAATACACGCTAGAAATATTGCACAATAATGTTATACTAGATGCACATCTATGTATGTGTGCTTGCACTTTATCGAGATCAATATTTCGTACATTATATTTTTCAATAAAAAATAATATAAAAATAATAAGTGAAAATAGGTACATACCAAATATAATTTTAATATAAATAATAAAATATTTCAATTATTTAGGATAATTCAGTTGACCGACCGAATAACCTAAATATTTAATTTTCGTTTCAATTTAATTTGGGAAAAAAATTCGTTCGCATCAATATGGACAATATCGACCGACACCGTGCACCGTTGGGTTGAAAAATTAGCACATTAATATCTGCTAGATTGCACATTATAATTTGTTTATATAGAATATTACATTTTTTAATAAAAAATAAAATAAATTATTAAATAAAAAAATATTGCCACACTAAATATGTTTTTATAATACTAATAATATTTTTCCTATTATTCCGGTTTCGACATTATGTCGGTCGATTAAACCAGACCGACCAATAATCCGGCCAATTAATAACTATGTAATTTTGTAAAAATTTAACAGTTTTCTAATATGCTCGTATATTCACAATATCGTGCATATATTGTAGTGTTAATGTACAATATATTGAACTTTTGATAAATTACAAAATTGTGTCACTATTAAAATACGATCTAATAAAAGTTTTGAAATTGCAACAAAACCCCTACAAATAGTCTAATTCTCATCATAACGCCCACAAAAAAAAAAACTTAAAAACTCTGAAAATCGCACACGCAGACACACACGAAGAATACACAAAAACACAGTTTCTGCACGGCAACCGGACGCCCGCTGCCGCAGGCCAATCGCCCGTCCGTCTTATCCGTCCAGATCCGCCGCCGACGTGACATCACGACCTGGAAGCAAGTCTCGGCCACCGGAAATAAGCTGCGGCCGTGAATGTCGGACCTCGCCCGCCGTCAACTAGAGTCGCTGCCGCCGTGACGCCACAGACTGGAAATAGATCCCCATCACCAGCGATGAGCTGCTGTCGTGGATGTCGGACTCGCGGTGGCGCTCGACGGAATAATGGCCACGCCGGACTGCAGCTGTCTGGCCAACAGAGGCGGCCGTGCGCGTCGGGACTGTCGCTGTGCTCGACGGCACGTTGGCCGCGCCGTCGGCGACGACGGAGGGTGGTAGTGCGACGGAGGTTCGCTGTCTAAAGGGGCTTAAGATGCCTGGCTCCGGCGAGTCTCTCAGTGGCGGCCGCCATGTGTGTGTGTATGTGCATTTGTGTTTGTGTCTCTGCAAATCGTGCGTGAGAAAGAGGAAGATGGTGATGATTAATGAAAGAGAAAATATATTTAAATGACGAGTGAATCCCACATAAATATATGTGTATTGACTAACTTACCCTTAATTATTGGTCAAATGTACATATTTGACCCACTATGATCAAATTATTACCACATTGTCATTAATGATTGACCATGTTTTGACTTCATCTTAACCATTAATATGATTGATCCCATGGTCCGGATCCATTCTTATTTCTTTCACTATCTACCATTCTCATATGATTCTAACTCTCTCTCTCTACATATATATATATATATATATAGGGGGCGGATCAAATGAGACCAGGTCTTAAAATGCGGACAGCTCTTAGTAACTACAGACAACTAACCTAGCAACTACAGAGAACTAACTTAGCTACTACTAACCTAGCAACTACATAGAACTAACCTAGTAACTACTAACTTAGCAACTACAGAGAACTAATTTAGCAACTACAGAGAACTAACTTAGTAACTACAGAGAACTAACCTAGTAACTACAGACAACTAACCTAGCAACTACATTTTCCGTGAGGGGAACAAAACTGCTGACTACCTTGCCAGTCTTTGCGCCACCATACCAGACCCACATACGTTTCAGACCGACACTGCTCCACTCCGCCTTCGCACGCTTGTACGGATGGACCAACTTGGATATCCATCGTTTCGCTTTCAGTAGATTAGGTTTATTGCTTTCATTCGATTAGACCTTTATTGTCGGGCACCTGTTAGCCCGAAGACAGACTTTGTATTGTTATTCTTTTCTTTTTCTTTTTTTTGCTTGTGAGACTCTGTATACTGTAGACTGTTGATATTTTGGGCCCCCGTTTTGGGGTCTTGATCTATGCACAGGTTGGGGATCCAGCCCAATCCCCCACCCTTCCGTGGCGTTGTTTGTTGAAAAAAACTAGCAACTACAGAGAACTAACATAGCAACTACAGAGAACGAACCTAGCAACTGCAGAGAACGAACCTAGCAACTACAGAGAACGAACCTAACAACTACAGAGAACTAACCTAGCAACTACTAACCTAGCAACTACAGAGAACTAACCTAGTTGGAAGGTTAGTTGTCAACGGTCAACACCGGAAGTCAACGGATTTCGCCGGAAGTCAACGGTCAATCACTTTAAAATAATAAAAAGAAAAGAGTAAATCTTGGCCACACATGATGTACCAAATCTTGTGGCTAAAAATGAGTCTCACGTTCTCACTTTAAATAAGTGGATGCATTGGAGCCAATCCCTATATATATATAACCGTGAGAACCGCTATTTTTATTGGGGCGTAGTGTTATGATTGATTGTGTTTGATGCTATTTTTAATTAGGATGAATTTTATTAAAAATAACAACACAATTTCTGGTAGCACTTGTAAAAATAATAGCATCATCTAATATGAAAAATAACATCATACACAATTAAAAATAGCATAAAAAACGGTTCTCACAGTTCTCACACCAGGACTAGTTTTTATTTGAACCAGCCCCTATATATGTATATATATATGTATATATATATATATATATATATATATATTAATTTAAAAAAATCCTATTTGGCTAACTCATAAATTGTTTACTTATTTGATTTGTGCCGAACTGACATTTGATGAATATATAATTGAGGGTTGGATGAGTATTAAATTGATGAGCTAATTGGATTGTTATAAAACTATGTCAATGAATATGTAACTAGTAGAAAAAATACAAAAGAAAATAAAGGGATATGTTTTCAAAAAGGTTAAATGAAATTTTTAGGGCGTGTTTGTTTGTAAATTTTCTCAACTCATACTAAAAATCTAACTCAATTTTAATATTATAATTAAATAATACCAATCAATCATTTATTCACATCATATCAACTTTAATTCATTGTTTATCCATCCATGTTATTTTAACTAACCATCACTTCACATTATTTCTCTTATATTTTTACATTACATTAAATCAACTTTAATTATTTTATTTTAAATATTAATTTAATATAAATTCAAAATTCTACTAACAACTAACCATGCAACATTTTTTAAAATTAATTTTGATTAACCAAAAAAATTTGAGAGCGACTATATTTGTAAAAAATCAAGTAGTTCAAGACTCAAGGATAACATTTAACATTTGACATTTGTAAATAATTTTGGTTGTAGTTTATTTTCTTTATTTTTGATCCTTGTGGAAGTTGTGGAAGTTTAGCTCACTACAAGAATAATCGTTTTTAGTGGCGATAATTTTTGTCGCTATGTGTTTGAATGTCGGCACAAAAAATACCGTCGCTAATAATGTCGCTATATGTTCGAATGTCGTCACAATAATCGTTTTATAGTCATGACATTAATGTCGTCACTAAAATTAGTGTCGCTAATAATGATTATTCTTGTAGTGACTATGTGATCTTCTTTTGCTTGTGGCCATGATAGTCCTCTAGGTTGGTTCCCCTTGGAACCTTCCCCCTTGTCTCCATTTGGGAGTTCGGTTTGTTGTAAATTCCCTGTACTATCTCCTGAGTTATTAATATAATTTGATGTTTTTTAGCCTTAAAATGCATAATCCCACGAATGAATATAATATATTTTGGTGTGTGACAAAATAAGAAAGAGAGAGAATAGCAATAATCACACCATATTTTCTACATATCCATTAAATTTTAGTGAGAATAAGTGTATGCACAAAGTTGAAAAATCTTAAAATCCTAGTCTAAGAATATAAAATAAAATAAAAATTAACAAAAAAGACGAAAAAATATATGAGCTGAAAAATATGCTTATTGAAAGCATTGTTTGTGGAATCCATGTTCAAACAAACTGCTTCTCACTTCTCTTTTGTGTGCAACAAACAGCTAAATCCTCTGATCCTCATTTTTCTGCAGACAGTAATAAACAAATATTAGCAATGCCAAACAAGATATAATATAGCCAGAAAAGCATAAGTAACCAAATTTTTTATCTAATCTTTAATACCATAAGCATTCTTAAAACTACAACGATCTTTAGTAAGCATATAAGTTAGCTTATAGTTTGTTTTATTAGTTTAGAAGCTTTCATTATTCAACCAAGCTTGGTTTGGTGAAAAAACTCGAGCTTACATCATAAGCTTTCTTAGATAGTTTTTCAAATAATCCATTGAAATTTTTATTTCAGCTAGATTATCAGCTAATTTTACCAAACACTTTTATCATATAAGCAAGCTTTTCAACCATAAGTCATAAGTTATCAACTATAAGCTCAAAAATTATAAGCCAGCTTATCAACTATAAATTAGATTATGAGTTGGGTTTATAGACTTTTATTTTTTATTAACAAAAATGCATATTTATATTTTTAAATAACATATTTATAGTTATGCCTTTTATCATATATAGCCTGGCTTTCAATTTTGAAAATATGGATATATATTATATATTCGGAAAAATATGATTATGTTAGCATTATTCTCCCCAGACAAAAGAATTGGTAATATATATTTATATCAATTAACATGTCAAAGACAAATTAATACAAAAATATCACAATTTATTTATAATCAACCCTAACAAAAAAATAAAAAAAAATGGAATATGGCAACATTACAATTTACATACCTATTGATTTTTTGCAGTACAAAATAGCTTCATGAATTGAGTTCTCAACATCACACGACCAAGAGCTACATGAATTATACAACGGCCTTATCGAAGCTTGCGGGGAACTCCAGTTCACACTCCGGTTCAAACTCCTCGCCCTTTTCAGACCGTAAATGAAACCGGTTCTCTCACCCGAACCCGGTTTAACCGAGCTCCGCCTCGGGTGCGCCTCAATCTGAACCCTCTCGAAATCATCCACTCTGTTGTTGCTTTTGCTCGACTGCCCGATTAACGGCTTCAAAGCGGAGAAAAAACTGTCCAGTAGCTTCTTGGAGGATTTTACCCACCTACCGGCCGGCGAAATACGGTCTCCTCCGCCGCCAACGGCGGCGGCGCTCTGCCGTCGCGAGAAATATGAAAAAGCAGGGGATTGAGGGGCGGATTTGGAATAGAACCGCGCCGGTTTTTTCTCCCGGTCTGGGTTGGCCGGCATGATGTGGCCGCCGGAGAAGATCTCGTCGGCGTGGGCAGGGGTAGTTTGGGAAGATTCGAACGAAAAATCGAAACTGAGGTTTTGCTCCCTTTCATGGGAATTTGGGAGCTTTTTGTCAGTTAGCCAGCTGTAAGAAAAACTCTCGGTGGCCAAATGTTGAGAATTTTCCATTTTTTTCTTTTTCTTTTTCGAATTTTTTTGGCGGACTTTTTTTTTTAATTTTTTTTTTCACCACAAATTGAATTTGGGATTTGAATGTGGTGTGTGTGTATATATATAGGTAGATGGATTATTATTCTATTTTGTTTGTGAAAATGAATAAAATTGAGAATGCTGTGTTATGACTTATGAGTTATGACCACAACACGGGAAATTCTATGAGTGCGCAAATATTTAGGTGTGTCAGGGCCTTTTGTGAAATACAGCTCTTTCAAAAGTGCGTGAGGCAAGGAGGTAGAGTATTTTTTTTAAATGGGACATGTGTCCCATTTCTGTTGGGTAATGAATTTCATATATCATATTATATAAATTAAATTATCATTCATATTTTGTATCAAAAAATAAAAATAAAAATACTAAAATTCATAATTTTTCATTCTCTACAAATAGAGACCACATTTGATATTTTTTGGAACACAATTAATTTATTATTTTTTATAATTAATTTATCTTATTGGAAGATTATGACGAGAATCTATAATTAGATGAATATGTTACATAGTAAGATGAACATGTTATAGAGTAAGATGAACATGTCATAGAATAAGATGAAAATGTTACATTTTCACAAATGAAATTTAGATGAACATGTTCTAAAATAAGATGAACATGTTACATAATAAAATGAACATGTTATAGAATAAGATGAACATGTTACATAATAAATGAACATGTTATAGAGTAAGATGAACATGTTACATACATAATAAGGTGAACATGTTACATAATAAAATGAACATGTTATAGAATAAGATGAACATGTTACATACACAATAAGGTGAACATGTTATAAAATAAGATGAATATGTTACCAAAATGAGATGAACATGTTATAAAATAAGATGAATATGTATTATTTCAATCTGCAATCTGTAACATGTTCATCTTATTTGAAAACATATTCATCTTGTTATGTAACATGTTCATTATATGTCAGTATAATAAGATAATTACGAAAAAACGAAAAATTAGTTGTGCTCAAAAACTTATCAAATGTGGTCTCTATTTATAAATAATAAAAAATTATGAATTTTGGTATTTTTATTTTATTTTTTGAATATAAATAATTAATGATATTTTAATTTATGTAATATGTCTCATTTTTCAATTAAAAAAAGGAAAAATGGGAATGTGCACTACACTCTTTAAATTTTCTAGTTTTTTGGGGTGAGGGGGCGCGTGCAAATTTTGTATTGTGCAACTTTTTATTCCAATACTTATTTGTTAATCACAAATTTTTGGATGAGGTAATTTAGTTGGTCCTCTTATCATATTTTTTTAATAAAAATATTTACTTATATCATAAATATTCTACTTTTATTTATATTTTTTCCTAGTTTGAAACTACACATATTTGTTGAACGATTATCATTATCTAGCCATTAGTTCTGCCTAATCTCTCGGTCGTTGTTCACTAAGCTAAGATCTTAAAGCTCGTTTATGTAATGCTTAAAAATAAGATTTTATGTAATTTTGCGACTCATTAATATTGACAAAATAGTCTATTCGACCTCATTCATCGATTAATTTTTTTAACGAGCCTAACACTGAGTATATACCAACATCACTCTTACTGGTTTGTAAGGTGCTTTTTTTCCACTTTAACTATTTTCATAGGATGACATTCTTTAATTTCAAAATGATGTATCTTTTACTGATTTTAAGACTAGAAGGTTCTAATTTTTATTAATTTTATTAAAATTTGATCATGCAATGAGATAAGCACGTCCATCTATACTACATTCCATTTTAGATGACGCAACCATTGTTTTGGTTTGTAAGTTTCTTAACGCCGATTTTCTGCCATTTTTTCATTAAAATTCCACAAATCATGCTATAAGTTAACTATAGGTTGTACAATGTGGAAAATGAAAATATCAAAAAAATAATAATGAAAATAATGAATTTATTATAAAATAATAAGCAGAGCGAATGTATATATGTAGACCTTTTCTTATAGTAAGACTAGTGTCATTGATATTTATAAAATTGAAATAGTATAATTACAAATTAAATGAAAAATGATTCGCATGTATATGATGCGAGCCATTTGATTGTGTAGACCAGGTATCACATCTATATACAAGTTAAATTATAGTATCTGTAAATTATAACACTGGATATAAATATATTAATCATGCTGAAAAATCATTTTAAACAAATAAATGAATGGTGAACTAATTTCATGTAATTTATTTTTCTATCAGAAATGGGCTCTTCAATGAGAATCTTTTATCCAAACATTTTTTCCCCCTTTCCCTACTTAAAAGTTAAAAATAGTGAAACTAGGTCAAGATTTAATTATTAAATGCGGTATTTTATTCTTTTTCTTTAATTGTCTATTTATTTATAGGGCCAAAAATTGAAGCGAAGTGCATGGATGATGCAGCAGACGGTGACATTTCTACAACACTTAATAATTATAAAATGCAATTTGTAACATTATACTATTTTTGAAGTAAATTACATGAGGTGCGTATTTATTTTTTCAAGTTATGCTTCTCAACGAAATTACTTTCACCCGTTACTTTTTAATCTTATGTCCATTCAAAATTTGTTATAAATCTTCACCAATTTGCGAGACCAATGAGAAGAAGCATCAATATTTATTTAAATTACATGTAAGCTAAACACAGTCTAACTATTACTATTAATCACTTCAATATTTAGGCTATGTTTGGTAAGATTAGTTGATACGTTAATTGATAGCTTATAAATTAATTTTGAACTTATAATTGATAGCTCATAAGAGACTTTGACAAACTTAACTAATAAGTCAGCTGAAATAAAAATTTCAACGGACTTACTTGAAAGTTACTTAAAGAAACTTAAGAAATAAGTTCAAATTTCTTAAAAAAACTCGTCTTATCAAATTAAATTTATTTGAGTACAAAAAGCTTATATGCTAACAAAATAAGTTTTAAACTTGTTTATTTTGCTTAACAAATGCACTTTTAATAAACAATTGTTTGTGTACTCAAATTCTTATTGAAAATAATCTAGCCACATGTTAAAATAAAAATAGTACATCGAATTGACTCAATATATTCTTTCCACTCGATATTCCGAAGAAGAGACTTCAAGAGAGAATGTCTTGTTGTTTTCTCATTAAATTTTTCGAGGACAAAATATTATCAAAATATTCGTTGAAAAATGGAAAAGCTAATAACAAGAGAAGACAGGGGTCCCGAGCTGTAGGGTCAAAGGGGAAAAAATGGAAGCCACTAAGAGTGAGGGGACCCAAAACACGAAAAAGGAAAAGATAGAAACCAGACACACAAAGCTTTTGGGTTGGTCTGTTCACAGTAGTACATTTCATTTGCAATATAATTATGACATTTGTTATGTTCTGATGTCCACTTTATAACTTTGTTGAATCATATTTATTTATTTAGTTGTTTTTTTTTTTTTTACCNTACGTAAATTAGTCGAGCTCGAATTGTTAATCGAGCTCGTTTACTAAACAAGTTCAACCGAGCTTGTTTACGAACGACCCCTTTTTTTTTGTGAATTTTAGATGAACAACTCATTTTGTGGATTTTTTTTTTCTGGTATCGCATATAAGAATCTTTTTCTTTGTTTTTCCAAAACAAAGACGTTTCTTTTGCATTTCATTTATTGACATCATCATTATTATTTTTTTAATAAAAGTGGAAACTTCTATGGGCACAAAAGTTGATGTTACATTGATGAAACACATACAACAGATGAAAGACTAATAAAACAGATGTTTGATGTGTGCTGAAGAAATTTCCATGTCCAGTCAATTTTTGGGACCATTTGATGTATTGTAATGTAATTATGTAACAATTGGAGTAACTCAAGTTATATAGAGACTGAAATTGAATAATATAACATTTCGTTATATTAGCTAAGTCGCACAAATAAGAGGCAATAAAGAAATTGTAGAAAAATACCAGATACTACACAAAACAAATAATGAATTAATGATAATGTTTGGTCAGATATGGGAGTCGAACAAAAGACCGTCCTAAATAACTGTCCTAGTTTTTGTTTAATTATATAAATTTGGAAAAGAAAAATGTAAATACTGGGTTTTATTTTCATTTTTCAATTTTCGGAAAATTTGAAGTAAATGAGCTTAAGANTATGCTGTTGCTAATGTCCCGTGAAGTTTTCCTTACGTAAAAAAAGAAGCTTATGATATGACATACGTCACATTTTTGTCGGTAAAATTTAAAAAATAGTCCACTATGTTGGTCATTTTCTTAAAAATGTATCATATAGGGTGTTATAAAAAATGGTTCACTAAATTGAAACTTTAACCAAAATTTGTACGATAACCAACATAGTGTTCTAATAGTAAATATTTTTAGTTGTCATTTTTGGTACATTATGTTGACTAATGTACGAGTTTTGATTGAAGTGACAACTTAGTAGATCATTCTTGATGACACTCTATATGATGGATTTTTTTAGAAAATGATCAACATAATGTACTAAAAATAAAATAGGGAAATTTACATCTATCCTATATGATTATGAAAATATTACAATTATACCATACACCTATAATTAATTATGTCTTTACCTAAAAGATAACATTTAATTGAATTAATGCTTAGATTCCGTTACTATTTAATGCTAACCTCTCCTTATCTAATGCGTGGTTACGGTGGGGAATGGATTTCGAGAATTAACAACTCTCGATAAATTTCTTGTTTTTCGCGAGGTGGTAAAAATTACAGCATATACTGAAAATATACTGAATATAAACCCTAATCACATTTTAACTGTCGAGAGTTCCTCAAGAAGTGTAATATATATCAGTTTCTGAATATTTTTTAATATATATTGCATTCAAATATGATTTTATTTATATACAAAAACATAAAATGTTTATAAACTGAAAATATAATGTCTATATACTCAACATATATCAAATAAACTGTAAATATACATCAACTAAACTGTAAATATACTCAACATATATAAAATAAATTGTAAATATACATCAAACTGTAAATACTCTACATATACTGTACATATACGACACCGTCGTCCCCGACCTCCGCCGCCGCATCCTATCCTTCCACGCTCTCATCAAGGGCCTCTGACAGAAATTATACCAGAAAAATCGAAAACTCAATTCGAATATATTCGATAAATTGTGTTTCTTTTTTTATTTCACTTCCAATCAGAGAACAAAAATCCACAAACGCATAAAATCAAGGGTACCCAATATACAACGAGGAACAAATATACAGAAAAAAAATAGAAAAAGAAAAAGCTTGATTAAGGACCATGATTTCATAATCGCGGTTTTTAGAAGAGATATGGTAGCAGAGAGAGAGAGATATTATTTTCTACTCTTTTTGGTAAGATTATATTTGATTTCAATAATTATCCCAATTGTATTTAATTAGGCCCCATAAATGCTTAATAACGGTTACGCATGCAGAATTCAATCTCTTAGGTATAAGTGCAGTATTTTATGCTTGCTTTGGCAATTTTATAAATAAGAAAGTATTTGGTGTAAAAGTGTAATATATATCATAATTTATTGTAAGGGGTGTAATTTCCTCAATCAAATTTAAAAAATAACGACACTGCCTATCTTTTTTAAAACCGTTTTTACATTATTGCTAGCAATAATTATTAAGTCAAAACTGCAGTATTGATTTCCATTTTTACTCCAAACAGCAGTTACAGCAGTTATTATTTTTTTATTTTAGTTTTTCGTTTTTTATTCTTATTTAATCTGATAAATCTTCTCTTTCTCTTAGTTCTGATTTATCCTCTAAATCTACTTCCCAAAATTTTTGCCCCAAATCCACATTCCAAATTTTCGGAGAGAAGGAATGATAAGAACAACATCTTCAATCGGTAAAGATGGTTCCTTTTAAAAAACGCAAAGCTTCTTCAAATATTTTTGGATTTACTTAACTTTGTATTGTAGATGAAAATTTGTGTGCAATGGGATCTAGTGATCTACACACTAGTATCTATGAACATCTGCTCGACTGCACGAGTTGCAAATAGAAACTGCCCACTCGTGAGGCTTTGGATGTTGTCCTCCGTGTTTATGCAGACTCGAGTTTAGTTTCTAAAGCTCTCGATTTTACACTCGTTTGTGTTGAGAATCTTCAATTCGGTTTCCAATATGTCGGTTGTAATTCTTTGCTCAACGGGTACTATTCTATCTTCATCAGATTATAAATTTATGTTAACTAGAACAACACTCATGTATTACATGGGTGGCGACGGTGCCTCATCCCGGACCGTTCATGGACGGATTCATAAAAGTGAGATGGGTATCCGGACAAGTCAAATCCAGGACCGTCCCGGTCGGCGCCCACCGTTACCATAAATAATCAACATATTATAGATAATCCGAACCTAAATATATTTGGATTAGAAGTAAACTAAATCTACCCAAGCCTAATAACGAAGCATGTATTTTTGCCGCATAGGATCCCGAAGCATGCGATCCTGCCACATAGGCTCAACACGTTCTCAATTAATATATATATATATATAAGGGGGATAAAGTGTGCCTCATAAATCTATGTTAATTACTGTTTCTCAGGTCATTACAGCTTCTATAAATCTATGTTAATAACATGTGCTTATATTGTTGCTCTATTTGTTATATGTTTTGGAAATATGTTGAAGGGGTTTGCTTACATTATTTATGCATTCACTGTTTTATATATATTTTATATTTAAGTTGTTTGATATTTTATTGTTTATAAAATATTGTATAGCTGTTTTATTGTTACGTATCTAGGTTTTTTTTATAATATATATTATTAATTTTTTAAATTACAATAACAAGTATTTGTGTTGTTTTTAATTAAATTTAATTGTTATGTATACATATAATATCAATCTCTTTTTTTTTTTTTTTCTTTTGTTTTGTTTTTTGTTTTTCTTAGGCATTCAAGAAGAAGAAGAAAAAGAAGAAGTAACTAAAAGAAGAAGAGAAAAAACGTGTGAAAGACATTCAAGAAGAAGAAGAAAAAATAAATAAAGAAGAGAAGAAACGTGTAAAAGAGGAGAGAGAAGGAAAGAAGATGAAGAGAGCATAAAAATAGGAAGAGAGAGAAACAGAACATATAAAGAAAAACTGCTTTTATATGGACAGTTGTTTTCGATTTATGTGGAATTCTGTATAGTAAGGCTTTTAATGGAATAATTGTTTAAAAGAGATTCAGTTAAGAAATTTCGCCTAAAATATGGTTGCGTTGGCCTGCTCTGGAAAAACTAGAGCCCAGTAGGCCAGTGGATGAAGAAGGCCTTGTCCAACTTAACTACAGTCCACAGACTTTAAGTACCTTAACAGGCTTTAGTTAGTGCTCATTTTGGCCCACTAAAAAATCCAGAAATGTCAGCTTACAAGCCCATTATTATATTCCATGTTTCCACGCGAACCAACTTTATTGAGTCGCGCTCGTGTTAAATATGTTGATAGATAAATAAACCCGAGCTTAGACTAGTCAACGAAAAAATTCGTGTCTTCACAAATCGAATTATGTTAGAATTCATGAAAATACATATAGAAGTCTATTTTCCGAGTAATGAGTCAGCGTATTAATAAAAAAACTCAAGCTCCAGCCTTACATTGTCCAATTCCCATTGTAGTCCACATTCGAAATCTTCGGTGATAAAGGAATTTTGAAGCAGAATATATTTTTTTCGCGCGATTGCGATGTGGATATGGCTAAAGAAAACATAGACGATCTTGATAGAAAATTGGCCAGCTGTTTGAGAACAATAGATGCCAAGAACATGGAAATTTTGAATCTGCAAACTGCAGTCGGACAGTATGATGCCGAAATTGAAGCTAAGAGCATCTCCAATGGAGATTGTGATGTATAACATGGAGAAAGGGAATTAAATTTTTTTTGTCTACAATGGTTAGTGTTAATTGTGGTGTCATTTGTGATGTGTAAAATTGTAATTGGTTGGAGAAGAATGATAAATTGAATAAATAATATAATATATAGTTGTTTAGAAGGACTTCTACATCTAGAAAGCCTTCTAGACATTTTTCAGACCACGTCAGATTTTTTATGTCATGTGGCAGCAATGGAAAGACCGGAGATGCTCTAAGGTAGACAAAGGCAAGCTTCTTTTTGGTTACATTTCCGTTTAATGGTGGCTTAATACCGTATGTCTTCTGTCCTAGGGCTGGAAATTTCTAACTCTTTGTCCTTTTATATGTTTTTGAGAAGCACACTTCAAAGAGGGAAAAGGAAGATATCCTGGGGAGGCTTTCAGAAGCCGAAGGGACTATTGCTGATGGGAAGAGCAAAGTTACGAAGGACAATGAAAAACTGCGTTGGGCTCTTGAGCAAAGCATGACGTGGTTAAATAGGATGTCGGTGGACTCATTTTATCTTGTTGAAAGGTTAGATAACGTTTTGCTGTTCATTTTTCCACACTATATCTAGAAGGCTTTTTAGAAAACAAAAAACCATTGTGTTCCGGAGGATTATCATACATAATTGACAGTTGGATTCACATATCATGCTAGCTTATTTATATGCTATATCCACGAAGTCGACACGTTATAAAACGAGCTGTTTTACATGTACGGACACTGATCAAACTATCGGTGACATATTTCCAAAGAAACCACAGTAAAGGATGTGAGGTGTGAAGTTTAACTCGGCCTCAAAGAACCTGAACAAATATGTGAAATTAAAAGGAACTAAAATCATTATCAAGCAACGGCTTCTAATGGTTCACATGCTCGGATTTTCTGACGAAGACATGCAACGGCTCAGTCAGGAGGCCAGGCAGCCATAAATTTTCTTACTAAAATTAAAACAATTTGCAAAACCTATTATGATAATCTAGAACATAACAGATATCCAAAAGATTACAAACTAATGATATTCCAAATCTTGCTGGCAAATAAAAACATCAAGTGCCAAGACCATACGTTTCAAGTCATTACTGCTACTGCAAATACAGAGATTTAAGTTACCACTGTTAAATCATTCAGTAAGATTTAAGCCCGCTTCTTATCCAACGGTCCCCTTGGTATCTTGCTAAGGACCTTGCTATTGAACACTGCATACTGCTTCTTGATCTCGATACTTGCTTTTTCAGCAAAGGCATCAATCTTGTCGTCATACTTCTCATACAAGACGGGCACAGAGTGCAGCAGCACAAACACTGAAATAAGAAGAGAAGAAAAATGTAACATGTGTCACAAACAAAACCATAAACCCTGGATAGAAATATAACTCAGCCACTGCAGGCTGCAAACGAATTGAGCTTCTTGTATATACGCTCAAGTGCTCGACAAGCCGCTCGAGTATATGTAAAATAAGTTAATAACATAAAAAAAAAAAATTATTTGAAATTTCAAGCCGAACTAGAGCGAAATTCGAGCCGATCTAAGCCAAGACTAAAAATGTTCGGCTCGTGGAGCTTGAGCTCAAGAGTAAAAGAAGAAGAAAAAAACGAGCCTAGCTCGTTAAGGCCAATGCTCGACTTGACTTTGCTAGTTTAACCCTAGCCCTAGTGAACAAAAGCCAAAAGGTTAGTTTACCTATGTAAAACAGTGTCAAGAAGTTGTAGAAGCTGCCCACTATCGAAAGTACCCAAAGGCCAAAAACAACCTGAAAAAAATCACAAGTTCACAATGTCAATTGCAGTTTACAGATAAAATAAGGTAGTATGCAGCAATCAATCCCCTACATGTTACCAATGATAAGCCAAAAATGGCTAGCATAATACAAATTCACTGCAGCATTGTACCAACACAGTTGTCTATTGCCAATGGAGCTGGAAGAGTCATAGTTGACAATTCTCCCTAATATGGACTAGAACAAAATGGCTCAATTAAATTCTAGTGGTTCTTCTATTAGTGAAGTTTCTAGAAAAAAAATATATCAAACGGCGCAATGCACCTTGGGTCGCTACGGAAACAGCCTCCTTGTATAATTACAACGGTAAGGTCTGCGTACAACTGACCCCCAGACCCCAACCTGTTGGGAATGTACTAGGTATGTTGTTGTTGTTGTTGTTGTTATTGTACCAACACAGTGTACTAATACAGCAGATGTCAAAATCACAGAGAGCACATCCAAAACAGATTTAAAACGGAAAAGAATTTCATTTGAACCCCACACGTACGTAATATATCACGAAAATAAATCTTACCCATACTACTTACACAATGTGAATATAGGTGATATATGTCAAAGGCCATTTACGAACCACAAGCCCCAGAGAACTGGCTAAATATATTTAGTTTGAAAACACGCCAGTTATATACACACGTCGGTAAGCCCACTGGCAAAGAGGAAGTAAAGCATAGAAAAGGTGAACAGCAGATAAATATTCACAAAGGTACAAGTTTCTGTATGTGATTGATCAATTACCAGAAGAAACTTCTTCAGATCCCGGCCAGATGCGATTTCCCTCAACACAGCAAGAGCACGATTAATCTCAACACGAAGGGCAGATGCAACCTCAGCAAATGGTTCTGCTGGGAGCCGAACATCCGGAATTTGAGGAGGTTTTCTGCAAGGCACGGAGAGGAGATGATGGATTGAAATAACATAACTAGTAAATAATCGATTCCTCAATCCTCCAAAACACTGATGCGAAAAAACTATCAGATAAAACTCACCTGTTGATGAAAGTTGTCACATTCGACCACAAGAACAATAAGGAGAGAGCGAGGATAACAATGTGACACACCAGAGTAATAAGATGATACTCGAGCAACTCAAACAGAACCCAGACTGCAGTGGCCACACCAAGCACTGAGGCAGATATTTTCTTGTTCCTCCACAAGAATACATCAGCAGCTAACAAGATAATTCACCATATAAACTGTCAAAGCTCATTAACTCCATATAAAGCAAAGTGTTCAACTACATCAAGTGTTGCACTTGTTCACGGTGAAATAACAACAGATATTTTCTTGTTCCTTTACAATAATTCATAAGCAGCTACAAAAATTAATTCACCATAGCCTGTCAAACTCATCAACTCCATATAAAGCAAAGTGTTCAACTTAACAACATCAAGCGTTGCAACTGTTCACTAATTAAAAAATATCATATATTTTCTTGTTCCTCCACAAGAATATATCAAGAGCTACAAAAATTAATTCACCAAACCAGCTGTCAAACTCATTACTCCATATGTAGCAAAATGTTCAAATCAAAATACATTAGGCCGTACACTTGGTTCTCACAGTTCACTAGAAAGATCCACACAAGAACATATCCAAAACAGGAAGGCTTCAACACAAACAGAAACACAGCTCTACCCACAAAAACCGCCAAATACACACAAACAGAAATGATGCTCTCTGCATATTATTTTACAAACACCCGGCATTATGCTCAAATTAACAACATAACAAAACTCACCTGCCGCAACACAATAATACTCTTCACCAGAAAACTTAGAATTCGAAAGCAAAAGGCAATAATAAACCAGACACTGTAAAGCACGAGAGTTAATATCTGCGGAGCGCGATTACTTACGTTTGCCTCCGCCAAAAGCTTTATGAACCGGATTTTCCCGGCCAAACAGCCTGTAGATCTTCTCCTTGACCGGAGAATGCGATGGCCGCGCTGGTTCCTTCTGAGGCTCGGAATCCGAGTTCGACGAAGAAGACGACGACGTATCGCTACTGCCGTGAAGCTTATCGGAGATTTTATCGACCAGAGACTCCCTCGGATCTGAGATCTCCTCCTGCTCCGCCATCGCTGATATTACAGCCGATTCAAAATCCCAAAGACTTAGAAAAGCAAAATCAGACTGTGGAATGAATGAATTTGAAAAATAATCTTCTCGGCTAAGAAAGGGGAAAAGAGCGAAAGGGAAAATGCGTGGGAGGCGGTGTGAGTGTGGGTTTTATGTACGAAGGTGTGGCCGAGCCTGAGGTTCGGAGTTTGGTTCGGCTGATTTTTTAAAGTATCTCCCAATTTGAATCGAGTGTGGAGTCCATACTGGGGAGGCGTGGCCGCGTGGCGTTATGTAATATAGTTTTGCCTTTTCCGATTTTCATATTACTGTTGGGAGTTTTCTTTAAAAATAATGTCTTTATATTAAAGTAATAAATAAAAGGTAAAAAGAAGGCTAAATTGAAAATTAAGTCCCAATATTATAAAAACATTCTAATTTTGACAACAAACGGGTCGAGCTTTTATTTTTCACAAATTACAGTACTCAATCAACAAACCGAGCGTCGGATACTTGTCCGGCTCGTTGTCTAATATTTAGAGGAGACGACACGTTGAGAGAAGCGAAAACAAAATTAAGGATATAACTTAAGTTATGTTTTTAGTTCAAACATTTAGAATTGTAGAAGTACATTGTTTTTTATCGCGTTAAGATTAAATTACCAACAAGTAGTCTTGTTAAACCTTTCATTTGCAGTTTAGCAATGAAAAGACCTACTGTGTGCAACTACTGTTTATGAATTACAAGAATAGTGAATTACAGCAAATTGCCACCAATTTCAGTAAAATTAATCAAACGGACTGTACGATACGGATTGGACGGTGTGGATTTGATGAAATATTAATGTGTGCACTTTTTATGTGGGTAGTTTGCCGACCGTGCCACTTATACTGTTACACATATCTTATAGTGATTAACTAGTGCATGGCCTATGCGATGCACGGTGAAACAATATTACGATTGTATTATAAATTAAATATATAAATAATATTAATCATGATTTACTCATTATTTTTAAATTAAACTGGGTTGAACAGTCCGACCAGATGGACCGAAAACCGATTTTTAACCAGTCCAGTTCGCTTGATTAAAATGTTTGCTATCAAACCCGTAAATACCCGTCGGTCAGACTGGTAAATAAATACGATCTTCTAAATAAATTATGTTACATTTAAAATTTTAAATAAAAACACATATTTAAATAAAATAGAGATGTATAAATTGTTTATTAATTGGATTAAACATTTGAATTTTTAAATTGTTTAGATATTTAAGTAATACATTTTATTTAAATTTATTACAAAAAGTCTATATATACGTATATATATATTAAAAAATTTATAAATTAAAATCTGAACAAACCATAAAAATCATTGAATAAAACAACTTGATCGGGTCGATGACGGTCCATTTTTGAGAACCTTATATTTGTCATACATTAATAAAAATTATAAGAAAATATTATTTTATTCACATAAATATTAATAAAATGATATATAAATATTCATATATAATTAAACATGTTATCATAAAAGTATTATTAATCTTATTATTTGAAGTTTGGACTACATCACATTCATGCAATAAAGTATTTTCAATATTAAAAGTTATATTTAAGTTCAATAATCAATTTTGTCTCGTCAAACTGATACATAACTTAGTCACTTGGAATCATCCAAGTTGTGTGTTTTTTTGACTATTTTAAATATCACATAAAATTAATTCAATCAATCTGGGTAGTAACCTAATTCAATCACCCGATTGATCTAAAGAAATTTCCTGGTTTTCTTTAAATATAATTAATTTTATGATATAAAAATAGTAAATGTCTACAACAAATGATAATATATTAAAATTATAAACTATATATTTAAAGATAAATTAATTATTTTTTACATGTAAGTTCCCTTAACCTCATAAAACAGGTTACGTTGAAAAAATTCCTAATAAACAAAATTTCTGTTTGAAAAAATTTGATCTTTAGAAAAAACTTTTTAGATGTATATAGATGTTTTCTATATTTATGTTATACGATTCTTAGGGGGAAAAAAATGGAAATTAAGAATTTATTTTAATAAACGAAATTTTCATAAAATAACATACTACTTGTTATAAAACAAAAGAAATAAATTTATTAACTAAAGTTCAATAAAATAATACTTACCTAAAATATTTGCATCATTCGAAAAAATGAAATTATGTATGACAATTGATACCACAATATAAAGAGCATCATTCCATATTATATCAATGTTTTGGGGGGACAATAATATAATTTCAATTGTATCCAGGTTTAGTGTATCGAAGTCAAATATTTTGAGAATAATTAGATTGGTATCATGGGACATGAGCTAATTTTTGAATTTGGAAAAATATCCAAAGATTGATACGAAAATTGAAAGCCAAAAAATTAGGAAAAGATTTCAATTCGAAATTATGTGATATTTATCATATTGGTAAGAAAAATATGATCTTCCACAATTGTAGGGTAGAAAATCCGAACTATATTGTGATATTAAAAAAATTGACAAAATTGCATTTATTGGTAGGAAAGAATTTAATAAAGGAATTGCCATAAATGGCATGTAATAAATGCTAATGGGAGTTTGACTAAGATTTGACTTACTATTTTTTAAAAATAGTAATTCTTATTATATATACTAGTTTTACCCTGTGCATTTACACGAAAAACGATATAACAAAAGAGAAAGTAATTAGAAATACAGAATAAAATAAAAATCATACAATTTTTTTTTAAAAAAAAAACGAATTTAAATATTACTAAACACTTCTTGATATGCAACAGTCGTGGTTTTCCACATCACAACAAATCATTATCGTTATTCGACTCATGACTCTGGAATTTGATGTTTTAAAATATTTGATGTATCTTTGTAATATTCCAAAAAATATTTTTTTATTATTGTGTGACAACAATAGAAATGAGAGATATTTGTAGTTATTCTTAATTAATTGTGAAATATATATTTATATGACACTAAAAAATATATAGTATCAATATAAAAAAAAATATTTTGTATTTCAGAACATGAAAAGACGTTACAAAAATGTGCACCATCCAAAATAGGATCTGTCAAACTAAATTGTATAACTGAAAGTTACATATTATTATTAAATGGTGAAAATATATTTGTTAAATGAACACCTATTTTTATTAAATAAACTCATATTATTATTAAATAATGGTTGAATAAAACTTATTGAAATCTGCCAGCAATTATATATATACTAGTACAGAGCCCGTGCGATGCACGGGGTGCACAATTTTAAGACTATTTATCCAGGTTTATAATTATATACATGAATAAAGATGCAATATTATATACATAAAATGTACGGGATATATATAGTACGTGCAAAGCATGAGTTATATTTATTTGGAGAATAATACGTGCAAAGCACGAGTTATATTTATTTGGAGAATAATACGTGCAAAGCACGAGTTATATTTATTTGGAGAATATTATATTATAAGATGCAATATTCAATAAAAGTTTATAATACGCAAGAAATTGTACAATGTTCAATAAAAGTTTTATAATATTCAAGTAGAGTCTTAAAGTCTCTTGTAATTAAGACTACTGACAAAATAATATTTTAATCAATGAGTTTCCTCCCTTAGCCAAATTGTGAATGTGATTTGAGGAGTACAACAAATCGTTATATAACTGACTTGCTTTTTTCATTGTAGTTTTTTTTTTCTTTTTTTATAATGAATTTAAAGATATTCTAAAATATAGCAAAAATTAATTTTTTTATTACAATTAAAAATTTTACTAAATATAAACTCTCAATCTATGGTGTTAATCAACGTTTAAGTCTAAAAAATTAAGAATTTTTATCTCTTTTAATCAACGTTTAAGTCTAAAAAACAATAGAGTTATTATAAGTTTTTTTTCTACATCTTTTAAAACATTAAATATGAGCATGTTAGGGCTAGCTTGTAAAATAATTAATATATTATTTCACTAAAACATTTATACTAATAAAAATTTAATTTTAGCATATAAATTTATCCCTTGATATAAGAGAAAGTAACAGTTTTGTTGTTCACCATATAATATTTAATTATTATTTTATTATATAATAAAAAAAGAATATTGTTAAATAGTGTAGTAGAATTGTTATAAAATTATATGATTTTTTTTTTTAAAATATGGATTTAATATTTTTTTATGATTTGATAATATAAACAAATCTATACTTAACTTTGACAAATAAAACAAATAAATACTTTAGTAAGTATTTGATGTATATACTAAATAGGAATATATTTGGTATAATCAAATACCAAATATAATCAAATAAGTCAAAGTGTACATTTTTATTTGGTATTTGATTTTTTTATTATTAAAATATTTTTATTATACTTACCTTTTTAAAATAAAACAAATAAATAAATCAATTAAATAAATAAAAATATTATAATACCAAAATAGTAATGAAATTTAATGCAGTTAACTTTTCTGGATAGTAAATGTAGTAAATAGAATATCCTTTTATATAGTATAATACGGAAATAGTAATGCAATAAATGCTGTTGACTTTTCTGGCTACTTAATTTAGTTAAATAGTACCCCTTTAATATAAGTACTAGCACGTAGCCCGTGTGATGCACGGGACATAAGTATTAATGAGTTATTTCCATAGAACTTGTCCGTTAAGTAGCTCGTGCGATTCACGGGAGATATTAAATGAGTGGACCATATGGCTTTTGTCCGTTCGGGCCTAAAAAATAATAGAGTTTGATCATCTATCTTTTTACATCTTTTCATCAACGTCATTTTTTTGTCGGAACATTAAACCTGAGTCTGGTAGCGCTAGCCCGTAAATTAATTAATATATTATCTCGCTCACATGTTTATAATAATATAAATTTGATTTCATTATATATATTTATTCATTGATATAAGAAACATAACAATTTTACGTAATCTTGTTCCTCGTATAATAGTTATATTATTTCATTATAAAATTTATTGTAGTATAATGTCATTATTATTATAAGTTATAGATGTAATCTTCTTCTTCTTTTTGTTTTATGTAATTAAAATATTTAATGTATGTTCATATTATTTATTAATGTAACTAATTTAAATTATGTAAATAAATTTAAAGTAAAACATTTTGTACAAACATTTTACAAAATATACACAAATGTTTTTTTAGAATTTAATTTTTTACAATAAATAACAGATTTGAAATTCTATGCAATTATTAAAACCGA